TTTTATTTTATTGTTTTATATATTTTATTTATATATATATTTTTTTATATTAATTTTTTTTATAATTATTAATTTATAAACTTGATTAATTATTTGAAAAAGTTAAATTGAAATATGAAAATTTTTTTTAGGAAATTAAAAATATTAAAAATTATATATTTAACAAAAAATGAATTTAATTCTTTATTAATGTAATAGGTGATAAACATTTAAGTTTAATAAACTCCTTGCATCTAATGCTTGTCAAAAAAATAAAATAAATAAATTTAATTCTCAAAATTAATATTAAACCAAATCAATTATAATAGTAGGCTATGAAGGCTTGGGCAATTACCTTTTACGTTAATAGCAAAAATAATATAAAGCCTACAATTTTCCATGTACGTAAGTATGTAATTAAAACTGCAGATTCCAGATGTGTGTCACAGTATTTCTGTTAAAACAAACAGGTTATCGACAATATACTAATAGGTGAACGTTTTTCGAAGACGAATGGAAGGTTATATCGAATCACTTAAGGATGAGCAGATAAATTCAACATCTGCAGAAGATATGGAGTTTTCTGAATTTAGTGAAAGTTTCACGGACTTTACCAGCAGTGAGAAAATTGCTGATCCGATAGAAAACGATTCAGACGATGAGTTCGATGAGTTTGTAGATTTTGAAGAAGCTGATTTTGAATCAGCCTCAAGCTTTCAAGAACAAACAAGCTCTGACCAAATTGTAGAAAACACCTCTGTTTCTCGTGGCTCAACTTTAGTAGGTGTATACTAATATATATAATAAAATCGTGTATTTTTCAAACTTATTGATAGATACTTACTCAAGAATCACTCGATTAAATAGGTGTGCCTCGATCCCGCTTCGATGGACAACATAACGTTACATCAAAACCTCGACCAAGCGTTAGATAACTTGTTTCCTTCAAATAGTGAATTTTTATCCAATGAGAATATAATTTCAACAGAATCTAGTGGTAACAAAGGGTTGGAATCTATTTTTTCTATTCTTGGAAGGTTCGTTCTATTTAATTTTTATTTAATGTTAATAATTTATATTGTCTTTTTATTTATACTCTTCAGTTTGATAATTAAAAAGTTCGGAAATATGGCAATGCATTTCTCATGAATCAAATGAAAAACCATTTCAATGGAAAAAGTCCATAATAAGAAAATCATTCTATACATCTCTGGGAATTACGATCGAGGCTTTAGAAGAGGTGAATGTGGTATAACGTTGTAAGAAATTTGAAAATGTCTAACCTAAAATTTATATTTAAGGTCAAACCGCAAAGTAACATAAATATGATTTCCCCATCAAATTCGATTACTGTTTCCACAAAAGTTTTGCGTTCTACTTCAGCTCCTGTTAAACCAACGACATCATCTTCAGCTCCTGTCAGCCGTTCCTCGACACCTAATTCTTTATCCAATTCATCACATAATAACATTTCTAGTAGCTCTCATAACAATCTGTCCAAACCAAAGTCATCGACGGCGCCTAAACAATTGGACGTAGATTTGGTTAAATCATTATGTTCAATTAGTGAAGGTAATAATTAGCATCATTCATATGTATTTTTTTTCGTTTTCAAAAAAAGCATAGTATTAACTTTGACTTATTTAGAAACATTGCATACATTTACGGATTCTCAACTCCTTGATTTAAAATCAAACCTTCTTGCATTGTCACGCCAAACTTCTGATACACTTACGTATTGGCTAGATCAACGTGAGCAAACTGTGATGGATTCGGAAACTTATAATCAAATGATCGAATGTCTTGTGGGGCATGCACAAAAAATCAGGGATGGTAATGGAAAGCAATCGAGGTCGAGCTGGGACAGCCGCGGTTTAAAATCAAGAAAAAAGAGTGCTAGTGCTGTTGTCAGCGGATTGGGTGAGGGTTTTTATCAACTTTTTAAGAAATTCTCAAATTACATTGATTCTTAACATGTTTTTTTTCTCTTAAGCCTCATTAAGCCTTTCCTTCAAAAGACATAAAGGTCAGCAGAGTTCACCGAAAACTCCCACATCTGTCAAATCTGAGGTTTCAAAACATCACACGACTACAAGTGGCAATAACGCTGACATACATGAAAGACCACTTTCTATGTGATTTTAGCCAATAGTCTAAGTGTATACTTGAAATATCAAGAACAATACTATGGAAAATTCAATAAGGTTACGAATTATGAACTCTTGAGTACAAAGAAAACCTAATGAATTTTTAAAGCAGGAAATCGATCAATACTATACCATTGTTTAAAAAACATTAAGGCCATAGGAACTCGTGTTTATTTATTATTTCCACTTAATCGTTATTTTAAATCACTTGTAACATTATTAAAGATTTATCATAATTGCAGTAATGAAATTCTTTATAAGACTTTAATTGTATTTATTAGATATATTGAACATAGATAAAGAATTATATATATATATAGTATATATTTTACATTATTATTTGACAACAATTCAATTAAAATTCAATTATATTTATATTAAAAAACAAAAAAAAAGCTCTTAACAATAATATTTTACATATTTTTACTTTATTTTATTTTATTTGAGACTTTATTAAAACAAATACATTTACAGTTATTTACATAAATGATTCTGTATATCACTAGTATACAAATTAATTATAGCCTAAATTGTTATATTTAATTATTATGTTAAAAAATTAATTGCTAATTGCTATTATATCAAATTTACTGTATATATAAATAAATTTGTAACAATAAATCTAGCATATGTTTATATCATTTCTGAATTTGTAGCTATAACCTTTCTTATTACTTGTAATAAGTGTTATTATTTTAAGTTCTATATTGAATTGAAATAGCTTGGTTCTGAAAATTGGAATCAAATAAACTCACATAACACTAATTGAAATTGATTTATTCAACATAATGTCACTTATCAATCATTTGTCAAAAAAGTATATAATTTGGCAATCAATTAAATTTATATAACTTTTATCTTCAATTATAAAGTAGTATATAATTTATTCAGCACATAAATGATACACTTTTTTTAAATCTTATTTTGTCAGAAGTTAATATTTTAACAGTAAAATGGATAATTTTTTTTTTGTGCTAAATATATACAGTATGAGTTATATATTTTTGAAATTTTTTTAACTTTGTATTTTATCTTAATATTAAATAAAAAAATCATTAATTTTTTATAAAATT